GATGGAGCAGTTCTTTCAACAGTAAATAAATTGCAGAAGATTCTTGCGCCAACTGTGAATCAACCTCAGAAAAAACCTATCCACAGCATGCCAGCAATAAATGAGTATCTCCAGTCTTGAGTTAAAACCAAACTCTTCTGTATTATAATTTTGTGTTCTTCTAACTTGGACTAGAGCGAGTAAACAGTTTACTGTGTTGGATTATGTTTGATTTAATTTGAAATTCTTAGTGGGCTGAATGGAATGAGATTGAGAGTGGGCTGGTAGTCGATGCTCGCCGTTCTAACAAGTGTCAAAAGCAGAAATATGGCATCTCAGACTAGGCCTAAGGTTGATTGCATTGCAGAGTGCCAATGGGCAACAACTTGTAAGGATTACAAACACAACTCAGTAAGCTTTGTTGCTGAAGATTAGATTTAGCAAATAAATCACCTGATCTTGACTCCAAACCACTGCATTTAACTCACTGCAGACAAACTAAAGACAGAAACTTTTCTTCTTCATCTTCTTCTTTCGGCTTTTCCCTCTTCAGAGGTCGCCACAACAAGTCATCCCCCTCCATCTCACTCTGTCCTCTGCATCCTCTGTCCTCACTCCAACTACCTCCATGTCCTCTCTAACTGCATCCATATATCTCCTCTTTGTCTTTTTCCTGGCAGCTGCATTTCTAACATCCTTCTACCAATATACCCACTGTCCCTCCTCTGGACATGTCCAAACCATCTCAGTCTGGTCTCTCTAACTTTATCTCCCAGTTGTTCAACCTGTGCTGTACCTCTGAATATCTCATTCCTAATCTTATCCAGCCTTGCCACTCCTAAGAAGATCCTCATCATCTTCATTTCTGCCACTTCCAGTTCTTTCTCCTGTCTTTTTGTCCATGTCTCTGTCTCCAGACCATACAAATAGCTGCTCTCACCACTGTCTTGTAACCTTTTCCTTTGACCTTTGCTGACACCCTTTTGTCGCAAATCACTCCTGAAACTTTTCTCCATCCTGCCTGGACTCTCTTTTTCACCTCTTTACCACACTCCCCATTTTCCTGGACCGTGGACCCCAAGTATTTGAAGTCCTGCACCTTTGTGACCTCTGCTCCTTGTAGTCTCACTGTTCCACCAGCCTCCCTCTCATTCACACACATGTACTCTGTCTTACTAAGGCTGACTTTCATTCTTCTTCTTTCAAGTGCATACCACCACCTCTCCAAGTTATCTTCCACCTGTTCTCACCACAGACCACAGTGTCATCTGCAAACATCATAGTCCACAGGGATTCCTGCCTGACCTTATCTTAGTCGGTCCATCACCAGAGCAAGAAGGGGCTCAGAGCCGATCCCTCAGCACTCGGAGTCCATAGACGCTTGTAAAAAATGCACATGCGCAGTTATTCCGCTTTGTTACAAGAGATAGGATGAATCTGGGTGCACCACTCCAGCACTCTGTAAAGGTGCAGCGTACGGATCGAGCTTCCGGTCCCGCTGTACCAGTAAGATTTATTAATTATAGTGATGCACAATATTGGATTTTTGGCTGATATCTGATATGTTAAAACTTATTTGGCCAATAATCGATAACGATATTTTATATATCTTTGTCAGAACATAGCTCTCTTATTTAGGCTCATTTGCTACAAAAATTGTGTAACATCTGTAAGAGCTGGTGGCATATATTCAGTAACATCCATATGCATAGCACTTTAACTTATATTAAATGAAAAGTGTTAAATGTTATTTATTAGCATTAGTCACCTGCGATGCTGTCTCACTTGTGGAGGCTTGTTCCAGGTTCCTAGCTGCAGTGTGGGATCCTCTGCACTCCTGTGCATGAAGGACAGACTTTTAAGTTCAAAGTTTTTGTCTATCCATTGTGCCATAAGACTAATCATGCTAACGGGGCTAACACATGACGTCTAAATGTCTGTGGCAAAACTCACCCAAGTGCTATCGGCTATTAGCTTCTCAATGACGTCGGGAATGACGGCTTGCAACTCGGGTAAGGTTATGTCGGAAAAATATCTCTGACTGGGGACAATGTAGCGAGGCTCAACATAGTCCAAAAATCTTCGGACTCCAACATCCTCACCAACGGAAAAAAAAAGCAACCTTCTACACCGCCAACATTTTGAATTTTCCTCTCTGCCGTGAGATCAGGTAGGCACGCATGATGTAATCGCGTTGTGTTGCCGCTGCAGGCATCCTTGTCACTGGGTTGTCATACAAAACCAGTGTCTTTTGTATCGGTGAGTTATTTTGATGGAATGTCCGATATTGAACTTTAACGCTAATATCGGCCGATACGATACCATGTCAATATCGTGCATCCCTAATTAATTTTTTGTTTGTTTTTTGTCCCGAAAAAAATCGTGCAGTGCCAAGTCACAACCGTTATTTGAAATGTTCTATCCAGAATTTTCCAGGCCTTCCTTGTATTTACATGTGACCCTTTGTTTAGCAAGAATTACTAGTTATTAGTCATTCGAGTTGCTCTACATGCAGTAAGTAATCACACAATTATACTGTGAAAATGACCATTCATTACAAACCTCTTAGTCTGGTACAACTTGGCGTAAAATCACAAAATTAGGCAAGTTTGCTTTTTAAAATGCTGGTGAATTTAACATTTAGCGCTATAAAAATGTGCCCTGCTTTTATGTTTTTAAAGTGTTATTTCTTTAGAAATCAGTACAAGTGAGATCACCCTCACAAAAATGCTGCAGTTGTTGGGCTACGTCTTGTGCTCTGCAGCTGCTCACTTCCTTTTTAAAAGCAGGGGATGTCCAGCTTCCTGTGCTTGCAACACAAAACCCATGACAACCGATTCATCGAGCAGCATCGTTGCTGCGTTCGTGTCAAAATGACACTTCGCAGTGAGTTTTTCTTCCTTTTGTATATTTTAGTTCACCAGCACGTTTACATGCTTGTTGAGGTATAACTTTAGCTGCTCGTCTCTGCACCTCTGCAATAAATAACAGCTGGGAATCTGGCTGTGACAGTACAGCGTGCCCAATCAGGCAACACAAGGAAGGGGTTTTCCACCGTGCACAAACACATGCACATGTGACATGCTAAAAAGACATCAACTTAAATTAGGTAGCGCCAACGTTTTTGTGGTCAGGTCATGATCTGAGCTTGAAGCTGGAGGCTGCAGACTCGTCTCTCGATTAAAAAAATAAATAAAAAAGCAACGCAGTTAGGAGCACAATTTTAAAAACGTATAAATCACATTCAAGAGAAAACAAGTATTTTATTACAAAAATAATGTGCCATTAACAGAAAAACATCCACGTTTTGTCAGTTTAAATATTTTTTTTTTTACACACATTCTTTCAAATGTTCGATCTATTTATCCCCTGCTGTAAAATATTTGATCCTATAATGTTTAAACACACACAAAAAATGTATTTTTTATGGCTTAAGTTGGAAAAAAAAGGAAAATACAAAATTGCACTGAAACAATCAGACTTTTCCAAGTTAGATACACGAAGAAAATAAATATAAATATGGTAATATATTTATAAATTTGTCAATGAAAATATATATTTTAAGTCAATACAATACTAACAATAGCACCACATGAACAACTACAGATCCAAAGTAAGAAGCTTATCCATTATTAATCATATCATGATACATTTTGGGCTAAATGACAAGAAAGTGCAATAAGTTTGTAAATTTTACATTGAGGTATATAAAAGTTTAAATATTACGCTGAACTCTTCTCTCCCAAACACAACGAGCGAGCAGAGCCACAGAGCTCTCACTGGGTGTTCGGCACCGCACTCGGCTAAATGAACTCATTTCCTCTTGCACAAAAGGCAAAATTTGGATTTTGCATCACTTTGTAAAAAGAATAATAAAAAAAAAGCTTTTTGTGTCAGTTGTTTTGTAGTCAGAAATTTGAATCTCCACCCAGGTTATTTTCTTCATTGTAGTGCTGGGGTCTTGAGTGGCCTGTAAAGGTGGTATCTTACTGGACTGCAAGCTATTTTAATGATGTTGTTAAAGCACTGGATGCTAAGGATTATTGTGCTGCACTTTATTTAGGCTTTTGACACTGTGGACCATGACATCTCATGTCATACGCTCTCAGAAATTAGTTTCTCAGATCACAATACTGGTTGGTTCTCTATTTCTCAGATGGGTGTCATTGTGTTCAACATAATGGTACTTCTTCCAGTTATCTAACTGTTAACAATGGTGTACCACAAGGCTCCGTCTTAGGACCCACCCTCTTCACAATCTACATAAGTAATGTAAGTCCGATCATCCCTGATGCATCCTTACATTTCTATGCTGATGATACAGTTGTTGTCGAGCTAAAACAGTTGCTAAGGAATTTCCAGCTTTTGCAATCCGATTTTTTGTCAACATCCAGTCAGATTTGTTCTGTCTCAAACTGGTGCTAAATGCCGACAAAACCAAAGGGATGTTGTTTTCAAACAGGAAGTCGGTCCCAGCAGTCCTTCCTTCTATTTTACCTTCAAATGGTGTTCCTATTGAGTTTGTCGATTCTTATAAATACTTGGAAATCTTGGTTAATTCGCATCCCTCTTTTAAGCCCCATGTTGGAAACTTGGTAAAGAAACCGGAAGTAAAACTGGGTTTCTTTTTCAGAAATAAATCCTATCTAACTCTGAACTTGAACTGACATATTGGTGGCTAGTTGGTGACAAAAAAAATCGACAAGAAGTGGTTTGAGACCAAGTGAACAGAAAGCTGTTTTGCAAAACTCCATTCTTTCTTGTGCAAATTGTTTTGTTGCCCTCCTCCGCCCACCGCGTGCCTGCCTCGTCATGTTTTGTAGCCATCTTGGCAGGCCCCGTTTGAAATGAAGATGAGCAGATGTGGACCAGTTTTTCAGTCATCATTAATTATTATATTTTAGAGGTTTTCAGATCTGGACAGGTCTCAGCTGTTTTCCATCACCTGCTCCCCCGCAGGTGTCAGAAAGAGCTCCAGCGACACGGCTGCACGTCTTTGTGACTCACGCAAGGAATTCGAGAACCCTGCGAACGTTGCAAGACGTCCTGGAGACGTCACCGTGAGCGTGGTTCACAAACTAGTCGCAGCCCAGTGAGATACCGCCTTAAAGGACGAACTTGTTCAGCTTAGAGACGGCCGCACTCTTCCAAGTGGTTGATGCACTTTGAGTTTGTGTCGGTGAACCTGGCGGAGCAGTGTGGACACTGGATCTCTGACAGGCCCGCGAGTTCATTCCAGTTTGTCAGTTCTGCTGCCGTGGCGGCCGCTGCCAGCGCTGGCGGCTGCTGCTGCCTTTCAGGAGAAGTCCTTAACAGAGGCTCCGAGGAGTCCTTACTTCTCCTCGAGGAGATCCTGTGTCCTATGTGCACACGACACACTGAGCCCACGTCCCTGCTTTCTCTGCTCGCTCCCTAAAGAGATTTACAAACACCGCGTCAAGCCAAACACATGCGGAACAAATGGATGCTTCTGCACCCAGCTGAAGGGCTGGCCTCTCACCTGTTTGCGTAGCTTCTGCTTCAGCTGAGAAATCTGCTCTTTTAGGTCATCGATCTGACTCTGTGCGTTTTCCCTGTCAGCACGCTCCGACTTGAAGTCGTCTGTGTAAATCAGGGCCTTAAGAAAAATTAAATAAAACAGCGTTTACTCCAGAGTAATAAACAATAAGGTGGGATGATGAACAGAAAGTTGATGATAATCTCAGGGTGCTTCACATGCAGGAAAACACGTCACTAACCTGCTGCTCCAGTGTCTGGATTCGCTCCTGGGTTTGCCGCTTTATCTCCTCGACTTCTCTATCCAGCCTCGCACACTGTCTGATTTTCTCTTCCAGTAAGGCGTTGAGCCTGGAGATCTCCTGGTGAAGCAGCCCCGTGCTGACTGAGCCCACCGCAGGCATCAAGCCCTGCCCAGCGCTCTCCTTCAGCCTCTGACACAGACCTCGGATGTAGTCCTCCCTGCTGGAGTCGTACTTCTGCCACTGGGAGTTCAAACCCTGCACCTAAACAACAACAAGAAATATTAAGTTTTTGTGTCTTGCATCCAATTATTAAGCTCATGTTGAGTTTACATGATGTTAATGTTTTATTTTTCTGGAAAAAAATAAAGAAACTCGTTAGGAAACATCTAAACAGAGGACTTACATAAGCTACGCGCTGCTTTAGCTGTCGATTCTCCTCTTGAAGCTGATGAACTTGGGACTTGGCAGCACTCGGGTCAGAAGACTCTGATGTCTGTTATAAATATTGTTGCCAAAAACAAGTTAGTATCTAATTACACCCTTAAGAAGAAGCAATAAACCTGAACTAAGGTGGCATTTAAAAATAAAATATGGACAGTTAGCACAAATACAAGAAAAACACCACCCTAGTGTCAGTTTTATTACCCACCTCCTTTGTTTGTTGCTGCTGGAACATTTCCTCCACTTCTCCTCCTCTTCTGTCTTCCTTCTTCTCCTTCTCCAGCCTGGCCAGCAGCTCCTGGCACACCTTCACGGTTGCACTGAGCTGGCCTCGCAGCTGCTCAGCCTCCTCGGCCAGTGACGTGCAGAGGACGGTCCTGGTGGCCTCTGCCCGCTCCTTCTCCTCCAGAACCGAGCGCAGCCTGTGGATCTCCCGGTCCTTCTCGTGGCCCGGCTGACACCTGATGCTCTCCAGCTCCAGCTCCTTCTCTCGGAGCTGCAGGTTCAGCCTCTGGATCTCCTGGATTGAGAGGACAAGATGGATGAAAATCAAAACACGCGATTTCTTGTTTGTTTTTTTGTTAAAAACAATCTAATATCGCTCTCAGACTCTGCAATTAAATATGAGTTCTAGTATTGAAGTGCTGCTGAAGATGACTCATGCAACAGAGAATATAATCAAATATAAAAAAGCAAGGTGTCAAAACTGATTTTTTGAAAGCTTGGACTTACTAAAAACAGTTTTGACAGTTTTAAATGGCTTTCATATATTTACCTCCGCTTTCCGAGCCGCCGTGAACTCAGCATCATCCCTCCTCTGTTTCAGTTTGCACATTTCTTTGAGTAAACTTTCCACCAGCGAGTTGGACGGACTGAAGCCCACCGGCTCGTCCTCCCCCACCGCCATGTAGATCCTCTCGTGTCTCCCCAGCCTGGCTTTTAAATCCGCAATGATGTTGTCCTTCACGCAGATCTGTTTGTTAAGGAGCTCGATTTCCCGCCGCGACTCGTGATACAGAGTGTTGAGCACGCGCGTCTTCTCCCTCCGCACGTCGTCCTCCATGTTTACACTCGAGTCATCCATCGCAGTTTGCCGTGATAGTCCGAATAGTAGGCGATGAATTTGTGCCAACAGCCTTTCAAAGCTTCCTTACCAACCGGGCTCCACGGAAAATATATTTGAAAGACGGCAGGGCTCCGTTTTGAGGACGCTCAAAAAAAAAAAAAGTCCGCGGGGAAGTTCCCTAGGAAATCCCCCAAGACCGTTCGGGGATATTATTCTCGACACTGATGCTCCAAATCTCCGACAGAAATTTACCTTCTCGCTGTGTGTTTCTAAAAGACACGGGGTAAAAAGCAGAGGTGTCAAATGTCGGATCATTAAAAGACCGAACCGTCCTGTCAAAGAAAACGTTTTTGAAAAGAACATACGGTCGCTGCCTTCAAGGTCGTCGTAAATTTTAGCTTTGTTACCATAATTGTTCAAATATCTGAATTTATGGTACATTTCTTTTTACCAATCCCACAGTTTGGTGTTGTGGCTTTAAACTGAAAGCTTATGATAACGGAAGTCTACTAGACCATTGCAAACTCTATAATTTCCCAGCGTAATTTAAAGGGTTACCAAACACTCGGGTCCTTACTCATCATATCATCAGTCTCGTGTCAAATTCCCGCTCCAGATTAAACTTTTGTCCCGTTTAGAGTTTCCCCAACAACCTTAAATGCATCTGAAGCTTTGCTTGGGCGGGTGATTATGTAATTGTGTAAATGTTTATGAAGCATTCACATTATTGTGATTCATTTTTCTTCCGTACGTTTTTCGGCATTTTTCGAGTTCCACAATTTTTGTGCTATTTCATCAATTCATATATGAAAATGTTCAGCTCGTTCAGAAACTGACTTTTGATATTGGTGCAACTTTAGCTTTTTGAAATTTTGCCTTTTCTGCTACTTTTTTTTTTCCTCATACAAAATGAATTGGGCTCATTTTACATCTTTCAAATCTTTAGATCTGTTTACAACCTTTTACTGCTACTTTCACGTTTTGTTCTACTTCAGCTTCTTTCAGCTTCCCTGTGCAAATTAAAAAAAATCCAGCTACTTTCAGCTGTTTTCAGCTGTTTTTTTTAGCTTTTTTAATTCTTTCTGCTAACTACAACATGTTTGTGATTTTTCTAACTTCTTTCTGCTCATTTCAGCTTTTGATGCTCTTTTCAGCTGATTTATTCAAGTTTCAGCTTTTTCTGCTATTGCTATTTATTTTTATGCAAATTTGAGCTTTTTCTGCCTTTTTGCACTCATTGCAAGTTTTTTCAGCCTAATTCAGCAAAAACGTGCTGTCTCCACTTCTAGTAATTGAAGCTTCTTTATGCTTTTTTAGCTACTTTTCAGCTTTTTTTTTTTTTTTTTTTTTTGCATATGCAGCGTTTGTCAGATAATTTCCACTTTGTTGTGCTGATTTCTGCTTCCTTCTACAAGCGTCTTCTTTCTGCTTTCTTCTGCTAAGCTTGTTTTACCTTTTCAGCTACACATTTCTAGCATTTTTAGCTAAATTAATCTGTTTTCAGATAAATTCAAGTTTTTCATAGTAATTTCTTATAATTCCAGCCTAATTAACTTCTTTCTGCTAATTTCAGCTTGTTGTGCTCCTTTCTGCTTTTTCTGCCAATTTCAGCTTTTTCTGCTATTTCAGCTACTATTTAGTGCTAAATTTAGCATTTTTAGCCAATTCCACATTTATTTTTTAGCTAATTTCAACTCCTCCCACTTCTGGTAGGTTAAGCTTCTTTCAGCCTTTTCAGCTACTTTTCAGCTTTTTTTTTTGTTGCTAAATTCAGCTTTTTAAAAAAATGTATTTCCTAATTTTTGTGCTAATTTCCACCTATTTAAATTCAATTCAGCAAATATGTGTTCTGTTTTCTTCTGATAACAATCTTCTATTTCAGCTACATTTCAGCACTTTTTTTTTAGCTAATTTCAGCTGTTTTTCAGCAAGTTCTTCAGCAATAAGCATTCCACACTGCATTTTCACAGGAAATACAGTTTTTCTAGTTTGTTGTTGGTGCCCATGTCTGTTAGCAAAATATTTCATGGACTACTCGATGGATTTAATGGAAATTCTCAGAAAGGTTTTTTTACTGGATGTACAGCTGCAACTGATTAAACTTGGAACCCAATCCATTTTAAGACGTCTGTCACTAAACACAAAAAGGGCCTTAACTCAGTCACTTTTACAGATATTTATCTATAATTTGGAGTGGCAGTAGCTGAGAGTCATACCTAACACATAACTTGAGCATAAACACATTGTGCAAGATTTGTTTAGAATTTTGGCTTTATTCTTTGTAAATCAAAATAGCTCAACCTTAGCTAACAAGGCTAGAGCAATAATTAAGTCTGTTGTATTGAACTATAATTAGGTGTAGTAGTTGCTGAGGGTGATACACAACACATACTCTGAGCACTAACACATTACACAAGATGTTTAAAGTTTTGCCACTGACGTCTTGCCAGCCAAATTCAACATGACCACCACAGCTAATCAACCTTGGCAAGAACAAAATGGCTATAAGTCAATTTGACAGATATTAAAATAAAATTTGACATAGTACAGCTGATATGATCTCCAATATATACTTGGAGAGCTAAAAGATTGCCCAAGATCTTCGTTACTTAAAGAAATGCAGCCACACAGGGACTTTATGGCTGGTTTAATGATTAATTGTGTGACGCAGGGACGGATGTTTTATGTTCGTGGAACATTTTTGCTTTCTGATATTTACAGATTACGCCACAGCTGTTTCTCTGGAATATGCCGTAGGAGCTTGTGTGCACTGATTGTGACCTCATGATACTGTGGAATTATTTACTCTTAAATTGTTTTATTATGCTCTGTAATGTTGGTGATGAACTGACATGATCAAGCATAAATGACACAAGTGATGACAAAAATACAAAGTTAAATATACAAAAATGCTTTTCTTTAGTCCAAAATGTTTGTTAAGCTTAATATGAGAAACTAACTGTAAACATGAATATAATTTCAAGTTTAAAAATGTAGCATTCATAAGTTAACCTTTTAAAAATGCAGACATAATTTGCATTTTGTTATTTCTAAGTAATTCTAACTCTATGTACAGTAATTTTTCAAAACACTGGCTGAAACATCATGTTTTCCTATTTTACCTTCCTGGGGGCGGGGCATGTGCAGGATGTGACACAGGTGGTATTAGTCCATGAACAAAAATGTCATCTGGTCCTACTTTTTTCTAAAGCTCTTAATCTTCAACTTTCTTTTTAACCAGCAGTTAGTTAAGTTGAAAAAAAAAAAAAAAAGCAGAAGTTTGGGTCAAGAATAAAGTTAAAAAAATTTAAAAAAAAAAAGCCATTTTAAAATTGTTTCCAATTGCAACAACAGGCAACATAAAATGTAAAATAAGACCTTATGGCCCATTAATCACACAAATAATAAATAAGTCACTGCAATCTGGTCAAGTTCCACTGCCTCTTAAAACTTCCATCATTAGACCTCTTCTGAAAAAATCTAATTTGGATCCAGACATTCTTTCTAATTACCGCCCAATTTCTCACCTCCCATTTCTGTCAAAAGTGCTGGAAAAAGCAGTTGCTGCTCAGCTGCAGATCCACCTACAACAACACTCTCTGTATGAGAAGTTTCAGTCTGCTCTGTGCAGCTCACAGTACTGAGACCGCATTGCTGACAGTCACCAATGATGTCCTCATGGCTGCTGACACTGGTTCTCCCTCCCTCCTTGTTCTCATTGACCTCACTGCAGCTTTCAACACTGTGGACCATAGCATCCTCCTCCACCGTCTTCATGTGGAGGTCGGTCTCTGTGACACTGTCCTGGACTGGTTTAAATCTTTCCTCTCCAATAGGCTGGAATGTGTTAGTCTTGGCAATGCCAAATCCCAGACTGTTTGTGTCTCCTGTGGTGTCCCTCAAGGGTCAGTTCTAGGGCCCCTGCTATTTTCCCTTTACATGTTACCTTTAGGTAAAATTATTAATCAGTACATTTCTTTTCACTGTTATGCCGACGATACACAGCTTTACATCAGGACTGGAGCATCATCTTCACCATTGTCATCTCCATCTTCACTCGCTGTCCTCTCTACCTGTCTGGAGGAGATAAGGGCATGGATGAATCAGAACTTTCTTCAGTTAAACTGCTCCAAAACAGAGGCCATACTGATTGGCACCCCTCACCAGGTTCAAACCTCATCTATAACGACTATTTCCTTTTCTGGACAAGACATCCCCCTCTCCACCTCTGTTACAAATCTTGGAATAAAAATGGACTCTCATCTTACATTTGAAAATCACATTAAGCATCTGTTTAAAACCTGTTTCTTCCATCTTCGAAATATTTCCATTCTTCCATCTCTCACTTTTGCTGATGCAGAGAAACTCGTCCATGCTTTTGTCTCCTCCAGGCTCGACTACTGCAACTCCCTGTTTACTGGAATACCCGGCAAAAACCTTCAGAAGCTTCAATATATTCAAAACAGTGCAGCCAGGATTTTATTGAGAGCTCGTAAATTTGAACATGTTACACCCATTCTCCATAACCTCCATTGGCTTCCTGTCACCTACAGAATTCAGTACAAAATTGCTCTCATCACTGTTTATACGGAAATTCACCAGATTATCTGAAGGACCTTCTTGCTCCATATTCATCCACCCGGTCCCTACGATCACAGAACAGTCATCTCCTCCACCTTCCACAAACTAAATTAAGGACCATGGGAGATCGGGCATTCTGTGTGGCAGCCCCCCACCTCTGGAACTCCCTCCCTGACTATCTGAGAGCTCCACAATCATTGACTGACTTTAAAAAAGGCTTAAAGACTTTTCTTTTTAAGCAAGCCTATTCTGCCTCCACATGATTGTATCATTGATTTTAGTTGATTTTATCACTGATTTTAGTTGCACTCTGTAGCACTTTGAGATTTTTGTTAATGAAAAGTGCGTTACAAATTAAATTCATTATTATGGCTCTACAATAAAGTAAATATAAAAATGAATAAATATAAGCAAAGATAACTTTGAACATACGTAAATGTACTTTCAATTAAAAATGAATTAAGTGTCAACATTTGTCCGTTTTGATCATTTTAAATATTTATTTTATTGCATTCTGGGTAAATAATCCTGTTCAAATGTTGTAAAATGTTTCAGTATTTCACTCTGGGGTGTGTCTAGAAGAGTGAAACAAAGTAAAGACATTCATAGTGTTGTTTAATTTTCAGTCTAAAGCTACAACTCCAAAATGGGGGTTCTTAGAAAAGATTTTGTTTGAACAGTTCATATCTTACCTGTTGTAGATAATTTCTTTGAATGTTGGAGAAACCGCTTAATTCTGTCAGACAAGATAAAGAGTCTGAGGGCACGGCAAGACCAACGTGGATTGTCACCATCTTAAAATGACGCCAGTCTTATAAATATCACAACTATTTATACAAACATCAATGTATACACCTTTACTGTCTATATTGCATTGCATGGCTAATTTCCTGCAGAATAAATAAAGTTCTATCTTATGTTATTCTCTTACATTATTATTAATCTGGATTTCATGGTTATTTAGAGATGCAATTAGCAGCAGCTAGCTGTAGCACAACTGCTAGCATAGCCCTACAGAACCTCACTGACCTACACAAGGTGAGGTCAGTGAACAAGGCCAGGCTGATTCTGGCAGATCCTGTTCATCCACTCCATGGTGAGTTCAGTTTGCTTCCATCTGGACGCAGGTATCTGCAGCCCAGATGTTGGACGAAGAGACTGAAAAACGAATTCATCCCTGTAGTGATCAGGCTTCTCAACGAACAATGATGTTATTTTAATGTCTTGTTATGGATGTTTTGTGTGTCTACTGACTGTGAAACAAATGGCCCCTTGAAGATAATAAAGATTCTTGAACTTGAACACTTCATGATGTATCCTGGGACACTTTGCAGGGATGCCATACTATAGCGCAGCAGATACTCTAACATATGCTAGAATATCTGTGTAACATAAACTTTACAGTTCTGACATTGTGTAGGAGTTTTTCACTGTCCCCACATCTGCATCTGTAAAAATTTGATTTCCTTCAGAGTTTGCATTGAACTATAAAACGGTGTATAGGTCAGATCAAAGTGAAACTAACGTCTAGACTGTAGGAGTGCTGAATATTTTTCCAACATTCATCCAACAGGTTCAGCAGGTTTATTCTGTCCAGTGGAGAGTCCCACTTACTTCAAGGTGAAGCAGAGCATGATGGTGGTTGTGGAGGTGAGTCATTCACCATCTCATGGCAGTCATGTGACAGCAGACAATACAGAAAAAAGGTGAAGTTTGACACACAAAAAAAACATGCAGGAAGGAATCTGATCTGATCTAATCCTTTTGAATACGGTGACACACTTTCATGTCTCGTGGTATTCTGAACTTCTTTCAGTTTTTCCCTCTTACGGGGGTCACCACAGGGAGTCATCCTCCTCCATCTCAACTACCTCCATGTCCTCTCTAACTATTCTGAACAAGTAGTTTAAATATTTGTCCTTCTACCACCCCCTTTTGGTTCCTTTTTGAATTTGAAGTCACAGGCTTATGCCTCTCAGAGGCTTATCTAACACGATGAGCAACCCACATTTTCATGTCAGAGACTGTCTGACACTTGACACAAATTAAATCATGAATGGACTGCACCTGTCTATTTAATCAAGATACTCAAAGCGCTTTACTGTGCCCTCAGTTACCCATTCATACAGCACTCTACTATATCTCTACAAAGCTAATCTGAACAAATCCTTTTGTAAAGATTTCTGTATTTTCTGGCGTATAAGTTGCTCCGGAGTATAAGTCGCATCAGTCAAAAAAAAAAACCCATCACGAAGAGATAAAAAACATCCATGTCGCATTTATTATGCGTTTATTTAATGGTCAAAACAGCTTAATTTCGCCTGGGTGGTGCGGCGCCATCCATCCATCCATCCATCCATCCATCCATCCATCCATCCATC